TATCAAATATTTTTTTTCTTAGTGTGTGCATGGAAGAAAGAAGTTAGAGTGGACTAACCAAATGTCTGGTGAAATATGAACGAAATCCAGAAATATCCAGAAATTCCGATTAAAGTTACTAGAATTCCGTTCAAATTAATAAGATCCCTGGTTAATACCAGAACTTTCAAATTAGCATCTGGTTAACTGGAACTTGCAACTGTTCAAGTTAACGAGATATTGTTAACTTGAACAGAATTCTGGTAACTTCAATTGGAATGATTCGTTCATATTTCACCGAACACTTAGTCTTCCCAATCAAATTTTTCTTATCGTGCTTTTTTAAATAACGATCATCTTTAAAAAAGAGTATTTTCTTGATAATAATTTCAAAATAGAATCATCACAAATCTGAGAAAAATTCAATTTTATCATATACTAAACAAGAAAATTATTTTCTTTGCAAGAATCAGTCTTTGCACCAGCTTAATACAAAAGCTTAACTAATAACTGAATTGAAGCTACGCTAAGTACGATTCAAAATGCATTTCTTACGACGTCGATTTTGCCAGCCGTGCAAGCAATTTTTCAAATGCAATAAATTATGCTTTACACGTCTCTTAATGAGACGCGGTGATAATCATAGTGCAGACCGCTGCAGTGACCGTCACGGCTTTCAACGTGTAATGTCGAGACGACGCGTTAATAAACCTGCGTTGCAAACGATTAGGAATAACGCTTCCTGTGATTGTATAACGAAATTCTACTCCCTGAATTTCTTGGAGTGAAATCTCACTCAAAACGAGTGAAAAGTGGCAGTGTTTTTATTCTGAGTAATATTGAGGATACTGTCCGCTCGAAATCGCAAGGCTGAATGTTTCCCTTAAGTTTAGAATAGATTCTTACTCCACACGAGCGAGTATTCCAATCGATCAGATCGTGAATACGTTCCAGTGACATAGGTAAAAGTTGTTTTCTTCGCGTATATTGGAGGTTTAAATATTCCTGTTTAAGAATCGAAACAATCACAGTGTTCAGGACTAGATATTGATATCTAGTCAGATATTGATTCTTTTGCCTGAAATAAACTCGCGACAGGACGATCGGAATACGATCACCGCGGGGTTCTGACATCCGGCGAGAATTCCTTAAAATACGCTCCGCGACGGAGCGGGCGCGAGATCCGTGACGAGCACCGGGGGACTGAACCTTCCGTGGCGAGCGGTTCCCCGCGTTCCTCCGGGTAGGAGCGTGTCCTAACGACTCTGGCCGTGCAGCAAACACAAGCGAGCCCGAGAGCAAGAAGCGGACCGCGCCGAGTAAAATCGCGGACGCGTACGCGCTCCGGGAAGCCGCGACATTGTTTTAGAAAGAAAGTCCGCCTGGCAGTCACGGGCATTATACGGCGCGAGGTGTGGAGGATCGGGATCGATGGATTCCTGGAAAGAGAGCGTAGGTGTAAAAATGCCTCGGTGGGCAATCGTCACGCTCGGTTTACCACATTCTGTCCGCCCGGGCATCCCGTGGCGAAGGGGGTGATGGCTTCTCCACACACATACACACATACACACACACACAACACACGCACACAATGTGCTGGAATCTCTCTGCGGTTCCGCGGACGTCAGGAGCGTGCGTCGGCTCGCTTCACCCGCGGCGTCGGGAACAGCACTTTAGTCGTGGGAGCGGCGAATTCCGCGCGCAATTATCCTGACACGCGACATTTATTACGGTCCTGTCGCTCGCTCGGACTCCCGACAGCGCGGATACGGTCCTGGAACAAAGCCCGAGTTCGTCGTTCCGCCGTTCCGCCGCCGACGTTACGAAGTCACGTTCCTAGAGTTCCGCGAGGATCGACTTTTTGCCGACGTCTTCTACACGAAGAGTCGATGAAGCAATATCTCGTGACATCGGCTCGGATAATACGCCACGGTGGTTTTATCGGCTGGAATGCGGCGCGAGCAGTATCGATGCGAAAGCGCGTTGTTTCAAAGCGGGAATCGAGACTGGTGTAATTTCGGCATCTTCTAAACGCGATTCTGTTGGAAATTTCTTATCTAATTTTGAATTTAGACCTAAATCTCACTTGAGACCAATTTTAAGCACTGACTATTAAGCCTGATTTACAATATGCTCTTTGTGTTCTGTTTCTTGTCTTCTGTCTTTTTCTGGCTTAAAGCTTAAAGCTTGATCTACAATATGTTATTTGCTTCTTATTTCTTTTTCTTTATCTCTTTCTGACTCATACCTTAAGCCTTCAACTAAAAAAGGACAGAGAACAGGAAACAAAGAGCACATTGCAGATTAGGCTTAAAGCCAGAAAAAATAGAGAACAAGAAACAGAAAGCAAGGAACACGATTAAGCTTAAAGCTTGATCTACAATATGATTTTTGCTTCCTGCTTCTTTCTCTTTATCTCTTTCTGAGTCAAACCTTTAAGCTTGATCTACAATGTGTTCTTTGCTTCCTGCTTCTTTCTCTTTATCTCTTTCTGACTCAAATCTTAAACTTTAAGCCAGAAAAAGACAGAAGACAAGAAACAGAACACAAAGAGCATGTAGATCAGGTTTAAACCTAATCTACAATTTGCTCTTTGCTTTCTGTTTATTGTTCTCTATCTTTTTTTAACACATTGTAGATGTTAAATAACACATTGTAGATCAAACGTAAGATATGAATCGGAAAGAGATAAAGAAAGAAACAGGAAGCAAAGAATACATTGTAGATCAAGCTTTAATACGGACCTAAGACGGAAACACAACTGAAAGCTTGGAGGACTTGGAGGAGTGTTGCTAACGTTAGTAAACAAAATGTACAACTTGAGGTACTCTTATACCCCACTTTGTTATTCCTAGGCTAAGATGTCTTTTTGTGTTACCTGAATTATTACATTGTAACATACTGATCGAATGCACGTGATTGTTTTCGCAGGCGGTATCTCAAGCTTCTATCTCTCTCCGCGTTATCTTAACTAACATAATTTAGAATTGATTTCAATAAACACAAACACTACTTTCACGTGATCTCACCGAGACACCGGTCAATTTCCATCGGCACCCTGCCTGGAGTGGTCGCGGCTCTTCGCGATTGATAAATCACGCGATTACGCGCGAGCCGATTGAATTTAATTACGGGAACGCATCGACGACTCCTGTGCGTTCGAAGGCGCGCTCCTTGCGAATAGAAATGCGTCGCGTGGAGATCTAAGCGCGCGCCGTCGGCCGTCGCGATCGCGAATGATAAAACACCGGAACGGTCGGCGTGGCTGAGGGAGAGCATTCGGGGCTCCGCTCTCAATGCGACGTTGATAAATAATTATTGGAATATAGACGCGGGCATTTACAAGCAGGTGCGCATTCGGTCGTGGCGGCGACTTCGCGACACCTGGTGCTGATTAACGATTAAGGAATCGCCGTCGACAACGCGGCGCGAGCGCGCGCGCGTTGCGACTTAAGCGGCCGGCTAAATTGCCACGTTATTCTTGTAAACCGCGGCATCCTCGACCGTCCAATTACCGGACGAGGTGGCAAGTCGTTTCGTCCGGGGATACACGCGTTCCACGCGCGCGCGGCGGCGGCGGCGGTGGCGGCTTGAAATCGCGACTTTTTTCCTCGACTGCGAGACGGCACCGTTAAGGACGGATAATGAGACGACCGTGCGAGCTGCGTTGAGAAAGAGACGGAAAGTCTTGTCCCATCGTCGTCGTCGCAGTTTGTGCCGCGTAACACCGCGAAGCGGTACCACGCGGTAGCGCAACTTGGTACAAAATACTACCTACGAACCGGCGACCCCGTGACCCCGAGGCTCCATTAGATTTATGCAGTCACAATGTTGCACGTCACATACGCCGCGGCGCCTCCGCGATTCCGCGATACACGGAGTCGCGTCTTAAACGCGCGTTCGCGAGAGAAAGCGCGCGCGCGCGAAAGAGAGAGAGAGAGAGAGAAAGAGAGAGGATAGGAGAGAGAGGGAAACGACCGCGAGGCGGCACGACTCACGACTCTTATCTCGGGCAGCGCAAACGTTTTGTCGTCATTAATATTGCTTATATTACATCCGTCGCGGGTGATAAATGCCCGAGTAGATTCGACGGTGATTACGCGCGGCGTTAATGGAAATCAAGTACGGACGATCGGTCGGCGTGTTGTCCGCCGCCTGGTCCAGTAACGCACCCTTACGTGTTTTTAATTACGCACCGTCGCACTTATAATGGCGGGTATTAAAAATGAACGCATTAATCGAGGCGAATTCAATGAAAGTGGTGTCTCGATTACGCGACGCGATATTCAGCCGAGCCAAGGTACTCGTGCATGTCGCCTATTACGCAAAATGGCGCGCGCGCGCCGCTACATGTGCACGGCCAGACGGAAAAAAGGATACCGCGCGTCCGAGGAATATGAAATGAGCGACGACCGGCAAGAAACCGAGAGCCATTCGACGACCAGCGTCAACAGTCGTGTAACTCGCCGCACGCGCGCGCCTTCTCATCTCCTCTCACCGCCTGCTTTCAATCTCCTACACGGAAGAGATGTTATAGCAAAATTGCACATTCAACTTTTTACTACAAAATTATGATAAAAATTATATTAATCGCTTGCATGTTTTTTATATCGCAAAAATCAGGTTGATTAATCGCAAAACAAGGTTAAATTTACTAGTGATTTACATAACAATTTCAGTGTAGTGCAATGTAAAATTACGTTGAAATTCTATTTCTATCAACTTTAGGTCTAGCTTTGGGCGTGAAATATTCAGATATAAATTTAGAGTTAGATTTGAGTTCTCTACTTGAATAAATTGAATCCAATATATACGACATTACATTTGCAATCGCGATTCAGCTGAAGGATTCACATCTAACTCTAAATTAAAATCTGAATATCTCATCTAAGGCACGTTTCAAGTGACGACTATTAATACGACTCCAAATGACTTTGGGATTCATCACTCGATATAGAGATCTTCATTTTTCAAACGAATCCAAGTCTCCTAGCAACATGAGCTTGATAAAATAGCGTGCCGTTAACAACGTTGTTCAGTTATCTCCGGGCACGTCATCGGTGCGCGTCCCGTTCTCCCTTCATGGAATCATATTCGGCTATGACCGATATATCGGTTATTAAATCTTCTTGGTGATCTTGGAACGCGCCGGCAAACGCGCGTAGTAGTTTCGGAGAGTGCAAATTCATCAAATCCGAGGCATTTTATATTGTCGTTAGCGCGTGTCGGACACAGCCGTGGGAGAGCTGCCGGTCTGAAATCGTCGGTATTATATCGGGCATTGCGCCAGATGGTCATCGAATCGGCGGTATTAACGCCGGCGATCTTTCCCTGACCGATTCGGTTCCTTCGAGACTCCGTTCGCATCCTAATCCTAGCTCGCAGAGTCTTCCAAATCGTGGAGCGCTCATGAGACGACGCGTAGCGGCATTATCACTTTGGCATATCATTGAAAAACGAGACAAGAGCCCGGAGAATGGTGAAACCGAAGATGACGGCCCTCGTGGCCTCCGCCATCCGCAATCTGCGGGAGATACGCGGCTCCACGTCCAAGGAAATCATGAGCTACATTAAGACGCAATACAACGCGACCGACACTAATACGCGGAAACAGGTATCCGGTTTATCTAACGCAGTTCAGATCGATACTACTCCTTGTCAAAACGTCACCGACTTTGACGTTATTCTTTCATCATATCCTTCCTATGAGTATCAATGTCTTATTCATTGTTAAATGCCACTGCTCCGTGAATAATGATAAGCGCAAAAAATATAATCCTTCCCTAATTTTTTCTAATCCCTCCGAAGCGCGTTTATCGAAAAATTTTATCGATTCCACAGTATTGATTGTTTCACATAAAAGGTTTGAATTTTACGCAATAAACGAGCGCTGCAAGGATAAATCTGTCTTTTCTAGATCTACGCCGCCCTGAAACGCGGCTTGGACTACGGCATCCTGAAGAAAGATCGCGGTTATTACAGCCTCAATATGGATCCCGATATGCTGTACAAAGCACACACCGCAGCACCCTTGGAGCAAGGCAGGAGGCGAAGGCGGAGGAGAGGACGAGGCCGATCGCGAGGTCGAGGACGAGGACGAGGTCGAGGACGAGGTCGAAGGCGAGGTCGAAGGCGAGGTCGCCGTGACACGACAGCCAGGGGCAGAGGCAGAGGCAGGGGAAGGAGGAGAAGGAGGAGGAGGAGGAGCAGGAGCAGGAGCAGGAGTAGAAGGGTAAAAAGTCTTCCTCAATCGAGGTCCCTCACGGCCAGGTGCAGGTGCACTTCCAGGAAACGCTCGGCGGACGCTCTGAGGGACATCCTGGTGGAGAGTCTTCCTAAAGGCACCGAGCAGACGCCGTTCAGACAGAGCCGCAGCCGCGATCGGAGCCGCAGCCCGTCGAGCAACAGCGACAAGGAAATCGTCGTCGTCCGAGAACGCGATTGATCGCGAGTCTGCGCGGCACTTCAGGTTTCGATCCTTTGCAATCGCAAAGTATCCTTTCTTTTGATCTCGCTGAGTTCACTAATCACTCTCGCGACAAGCAAGACACGTTGTCACACACGTGCGTCACCTCGTGACAAACGTCCAATTTGTGTCTTGGAATCGAGTGTTTTGAATTTTTACTTCCGAGTCTGATTGCAAAGGATCAATGGCGCTTGATATCCGGCGCGAGATCGACGCGATGCCTATACTGATGCCAGTGACGCGGGGATAATTCTTATGAATCTACATTTCGTTTCCAATCACCGATAAATTGCAACAACGAAGTATATTTTCTTTTTGTCTATGACGTTTACAAAATTTTGTATGTTCCACATTTACATTGTTTTGTGTACACATTTATCAAATTATATACCAGATTTTATCACTTTTATCCTTGCCTACAGTTTTATTCGATCATTCTTCATGCTTTTCATTAAGATGAAAGTACCGACGCTCGGACACGTACCTTATCCTGAGCATTTTTTTAATCTTTAAGGCTTCTAGTTCCGCCGCTACGCAACTCTGAATTGACAGAAGCGAGAGAACGCGTAGCAAAAATTCTTGAGTGCTATCCTCAAAAGTAAAGCTTATATATTCGTATTTAACGATCAGGACAATAAGAATGTTCAGGATTGGCTACGTGAATCCCGGCATTTTCGATGAATTTTAGAAATCTGACCCCGACAGTTGCTGAATTCGCGAGAAGCACATCTGAATATTCCCCTGACAACGCGAGCGACTTGAACACTACAGCCTTCGCGAAGCGGGATCCCACCGACTACTCGCGAAGCTCTTTGCGCATCGGCATGACTTTCAGCTGCGAACGTGCGGGTCGAGGTCCTGACGGAGGCAGTCCGAATAAAACCAACTGCTATAACTCTTACCGCGGCGGGGTTAAGGCGGGTTAGAAAGGATCGAGAAGTGATTAGTGGTATTTACCGGTCCCCAGCAAGAATACGCGAGAGAAGGAGAAAGAGAGACAGACAGGCAGACAGATATACACACAGAGAGAGAGAGAGAGAGAGAGAGAGAGAGAGAGAGAAGGAGGGAGGGAAGGAGGGAGAGAGATATCTGCCGATTCCTGGTACCGTTTGGACGTCCCGCGGGTTCGTCACACAATGCCGCGATCTAACTGCTCCCTATTCTCCGACAGGACTCTTGGCGGAGGTCGGCGCGACACTACCGGGGAGTCTATCAAGCGATATTAATGCGATTCTAACGGTGACTCTTTCCACAACCCGAGATCCTTCCTACAGCCGGAGAACCGTTCGCTGTTCTCCCATCCGAGAACGAACCTCTCTTTGGTGGTCCATCCGGAGCTTCTAGAGTTCGACGTAGAAAGAACGAACGTATCGTTAAATCTAAGATCGCTGTCTCGATCACGGTCGATTTGTTGCCGACGACACCGACGGCTTCCGGGGAAATTTGAACACTGCGGTAATGACACGGAATGGAGCCCGTACGAAAGAAGGATTTTTATTTCTGTTATCAATCTACGGTGTATCTACCCTATCTTGTTTTGCTTCTGTCGTTTTCTGTCGGTAACCTCCTTTCTAAGATGTATAACGGTCTGCGAGTCTACACGTTACGATCGAATGAAAATTTCTTCGCAACTACGGGGCGATGTTAACACTTCGCCACTACGACACGTCGCGCTCCAGTAGACCAGACATTTGCATAATAGCTTCTTATAAAATAGTCACTGCACCTTCTCGAGTACGTCTACGACACTGCACCGTGAAGGGAAAAGCAGTTGGATCGACCTAATCGGCGGTCACCCGCCTTCAAAGGAACATTGCGCAAATTACGCCTTAATGCAACAATAAGTCTGATATGGTCACTCACCAAATCACAAACATTGAATCAATCGATATGTAACTCATCACAACAACTTTATAATTCGTTTTATCGACTAAAGGTTTGCTCGAACAAATTTAGTTCATTCAATCTCATTAACTCAATCACTTTTTTTAAACAGCCTAAATATAGAAATTTATATAGGGAGAGAATAGTTTTTTTTGTATAAATTCTTTTTAATTATATTATGTTTTTTAGTAGTGCTAAGAAATAGACTGTAAAGCCTATTTTGCTAAAGAACACGGTAAACTAGGAACATATACAGTAAAAGATACTTTGTGTGGAAATTTTAAATCTTTAACATAAATAGTTGTGTTTCTATTCTGCTGAGTGGTGTTGAGTTGATTTTCGCTATTTCTAAATCTATCAAGATAACTCAATTATTTATTTATATGTAACATGTACATGTTCTTGGTGATATATTTTATATGCAAAGTGTGCAGATAAATTGTATTATTCAAGACATTTGCCTTGTTCAATTAATGTTCAATTACCAAAATAAAGCGGATAAATTTGAATATATGCAATGTGTAAAATTCGATACAAAATTATTCGTATTGCAACAAACATCTTAATTGCAAAACTTCTTAATAGCACATTTCAGTTCCTAAAACAATAAGTAGCACACGCGAAATATAGTCAATTACTGCAGAGAACATTGACCTATTCTTCAGTTACAAAATTCTATATAGTAATTTTGGTATAAAATTCTCTCCTCGTGCGAAGCAACAATAAAGCAACGTGTCTACTACTCCCGCTTGATTTTCTCGCTTCTCTTTTCGCGAAGGACAACGAGAGGTCTAGTCTAGTACGTACAGGAGACAAAATCTATTCGCGGTTAGCCATGGCGACAACCATTGTCTCGGACGGCGTTTCACGCTGCTCGTAAGTGAACAACCGCGCGAATGACACGAGGGACAGAAGACAGGAGGAATCTGGACTGAAAATCCCGACGATACCATCTGCTCTCTCCACGATTGCTCTGCGCGTATGTATATATGTCTCGCTGCGAGCGTGCCGCGAAACGCCGGATGTCGAGGTGTCAGTGAGTTCTCACGTGCGCCAACCGGCACTGCGAGATAGCGTCATCCCGGCATTACGTGTGATATCATTAAGGCAAATTTATTTTGCCATGCGCGCCGTCTCCGAGGTTAGATTAGGAGGTAGACCAGGGGCTACGCCCGCGGTTACCTCCGACTTGACGCAGTAACTTACGTCGACGGTGCGAGTGTATGAGTGTATGAGCACGCACAACATCATGCCCGAGCACTTAACGCTTGATTAGCGGAAAGAGAAAGAGAGAGATTTTATCGTCGAGAATCGGAAGTATTTCTTGCATAATTTTTGTCATATTTCGTGCGCTTATCTTCGACGCGCAATAAACTATTATGAGATTAATTTTTTAACTGCACTACTAGTTTGATTGCATTACCTTTACAAATTGTATATAATAATAGCTATATGTTATTAATTAAATTAATTCTTTCTCAAAATTATACCAATTATATATATATAATTTTATCCTAAAATTACACATGACAGAAATTACATAATTATTTAATAAGAAAACAACGCTAATAATTTAGCGTTTTTGCGACATGGTCTTCGCCGCTCGTTAGGTCAAACCAGATTGCTTAAAGAGCGAAACAGAGAATGACAGTTCTTGTTAACACAGATTTGCATAATTTCTCTTCATTTTTTCGTCGACCTCCATCTTTCCTTTTAATTAGCCAATTTTGATTAACTTTGGTTTTGATAACCTTAATTAATCAACGGCACGCAACGGCTTATTTATGTTTCGTGTTTATGAAGAAATTATAGTTTATGACGGAAATGGAGAAGGTAAAATGAAAGAAGCGAAGAGAGAGAAAAGGCCAAATATTCGAGATTGCTGTTCTGGTTCGTGTGAACACGCTTAATTCGCCCCAAATTCTGAGATTTTAATTGGCCGCCACCATCTCGTGGCAAATGGACCATATGAGAGAAATTTTAATTCGTACGATCCGCGTACGTTGATAAGCAATCGTAAGCTACCAGTCACTCGGATTAGGCTACGCCAACGACACGAGAAACAGCAGGTGGCGATCTCAGCGTCCAACTGTTCCAAAGTGTTATTAATCACTGGTCGCAATACGGCTCCCGCGCTTAACTAGACAAGTATGCCGCATCATCCACTAACACTCTCGATCGACTGTCTTGGATGATATGCGTGACGGTACTTCCTCTATGCGAAGAACGTCTGCATGCTCGAGCAATTTCGACCTCGATACCCATTCCGCCTTCGTAACACTCTCTAAATTTCTTAGAGTGAAATTTCGTCCAAAACGAATAAAAATTTATTTTAAAACGATGAAGTACACACGAAGAAAATGTTATAGTTTTTTTTTTATATTAATTCCTTTTAATTTTTCTGTGTTTTTATATTCTCTTAATGTGGATCAGTGAAACATCATTGAAAGCAATGTATATACACTGATTTACAATTATAAGTGACTATTCACTGATTCACTTTAAGAGACTATATTGAGAGAAAAATATCTAAAAAGTAAAAAATACTTATTCACAGTGGTTACCAATAACATATATATATATGAAATATTTATCAAATATGAAAATACACACTTTCTTGAAACCTTAACTTTCCATGAAAATTATTGTTTACTTTATTTAGATAAAAAAAATTTAGATATGAGTAAATATTTTAATATAATTATATAAAAGTACCAAATTAGTACCGAATAAGTATTCTTTATTTTTTAGATATTTTTTTCTCTCAGTATAGCAGTATGGGAATAGACTGTCAGTAAAATCTATCTTGTCAAAGGAAAGTAAATTTCGCTAGAAACATAGTAAATTTTTTAACAGCATATTTCAATTCCCAAAATATAAATAGCATATATGAAAGGATGGTCAAATTAATGACGATTTATTTCTCGATACTATATAATTCTATAATAATTGTTATTAAAAAAATCTCTCCGGATAAATACGCGTTGTCATTCAAAGTTACAAAATAAATCGAATACATTTCGAGTGGATTCTTCATTCATTTGAGCAGATATTTCAATTGATTAGAGCGAATTTGTCACCGTGACTGTGGAATACATCAGATTTGCTCTTCAGTCTCAAATGAAAGATTTATTCGACGATTCAAAGTGAAAGAATTCACACTATCCCGACTAGAAACTCATCTCATGGCTCTGATCCGGTTCATCCCAGTCAGTTATCTGACTTGTATAAAGTGAAGTTATCGGATTCTAATTATAAACAAGGTTCTATTTATTAATCATCCGTATTATTAATAAGATCTTGACTGCTACGCTGCTTACTGCTTACACGGCTTATCAGGATCCGATAACATCAGCTTATACAAACCAGATAACTGATCAGCATCAATTCGATCAGGAACAGGGGATAAGTTTCTAATCACGATATAAGTGAAGAGTCACTCTGAATGGCTGTCGTTTTGCTTTTACTTTTTCTACTTCAACTATCCGGTTGTAATTTCACTCG